CCCTAATTACCTATCGTCGGATTTAGACTTAGACAGTCCCGTAAAAATCGACACCGCGGTCGAATCACTTTCAACCCTAATTAAATCCTCCCTTAAGGAGAATGAAAGGGTCGTCCCGGTTACTAATACTAATGGGCTTCCCCTATATATTAGCAACATATTAAAAGCTAAAAAAGCTGCTTTCCGGAGAGCAGCTAAATATCCCACCCCCGAATATAGGCATACGGCTAATCGTCTTCAACGAAAACTCCGTTTACACCTTTCTGAATTTCGAGACCTCCAAAGGAGTGAACTCATGGAGAATATATTTCCTTCTCATACAGCGTACTATCAGATGGCTAGAGCCTTCCGTATAGACGCTACAGCTCACACTCCCCCTCTCTCCCGCCCCGACGGTACGGTTGCCTTCGAGGACGACGAAAAGGCTGAGTGCTTTGCAGACAGCATTGCCGCACAATGCTCTCCTAGCTCTCAACCTGTCGACCCCTCACACATTCAGGAAGTGGAAGATGAGGTCCGCCGCCGGAACTCACCCCCCACATCCTCTGACCCTATCACTGTGTCCAATGATGAGATCTCATCCATCATCAAAGGACTTAAGCCCAAAAAGTCTCCGGGCGCGGATGGCATATCCAACCAAGCCCTTAAAAACTTTCCAGAGCAGGTGTTAACCCTCTTATCTATTATCTTTAACGCCTGCTTCAATCTTAGTTATTTTCCCACTACTTGGAAAGAGGCAATTGTCATTGGTATTCCCAAGCCAGGCAAGCCTCTTAACCTCCCCTCCAGTCATCGTCCCATTAGCCTCCTAAAGGCCATGGGCAAACTCTTTGAAAGAGTCATTCAAAATCGAATGAGGCGCCATCTGTTTCCCACAGACGGTGACCCCCTTGTCATCCCACACCAATTTGGTTTCCGTGCGAAACACTCGTGTCCACAACAAGTACACCGCATTGTGGAATATGTCCTCAGCGGTTTTTATCCACGTCGACTAAAGACAATCGCGGTATTTTTCGACATTGCCAAAGCCTTCGACCGCGTCTGGCACGAAGGCCTTATTTTCAAATTATATAGGATAGGACTCTCCGATCGTCTAGTACGTCTCATAGCCTCTTACCTACAACATCGTAACTTTCGATTTAGACACGAAGGCACGTTATCCTCTCAGCGCCCCATTAAAGCTGGTGTTCCTCAGGGATCAGTACTAGCTCCCCTCCTGTACATCTTGTACACCAACGACATTCCAATCCCGTCGAATGGTGTACAGCTCTCACTCTTCGCAGATGACACTGCTCTTTACTTCAAAAGTCCTAGAATATCTTCAGCAAGGAACAAGATCCAAAAGTCAGTCGATGACCTAGGAGATTGGTTCCAAAAATGGCGTATCGATGTGAACCCGGAGAAGAGCTCCGCAGTTCAATTCGATATTAAAAGACGCCGAAATAAAAACAAGAAAAATACTCCACCTATACAAATGCTAGGGACCCCTGTCCCATGGCATATGTCAGCAAAATATTTAGGCATCACCCTTGACTACAGGCTTACTTTTGAGTCTCATGTCAAAAGAGTAACACGTCTAGCTCGTTTATACCTAGGTAGGCTTAACAGTATGTTAGGCCGACATAGTAAAATGTCATTAAGAAATAAGCGAACCCTTTATAAGGTTTGTATACGTCCCGTAATGACTTACGCGGCCCCCGTATTCGCACACGCCGATAATAAAATTATTAACGAACTACAAGTAGTTCAAAACTTATTCTGTCGTCGAGCTACGAACGCACCTTGGTACGTCCGTAATGCCGATCTTCACCGGGACTTAGAAATCCCAACAATTCAGCAATTTACTAAAACTCTCTCTGAAAACTTTTTTAAAGTTTCAGAGTCGCACAATAACACATTAATTCGTGAGGCAGTAACTTATACCGCCTCACTCCCCTCCCGCCATACCGTCCGCAGGCCGAGAAACACTCTCTTGGACCAGCCAAATAAACTTTCAAGCGACCTGAACTGCCTTCTGGCGGCTCAGGCCAATTCTAATTAAATTAAAAATTATTTAAAATCAATATGCCTTCGTAGGCAGTCCCTAAACGGCACTTAGCCGTCTGCGCCCTCTTTTCCCAAAAGAGGGTCGCTTTAGATACGGCATATGAAGCTTTCAACAGCTAGTTGCCAGTCCCCAAAGGCAGTTTTTAGGGGGTATCACTTAGGTTCCCCTTGTAGGTAGTGAGTCCCCCATAACCACGATGGACCGGCCATCGTGGTATGCGTAATGCATTTTCTGCCTCCCTCCGGGGTAGCCCTTTTCCAATTGCTTCGGGCGCAAAAAAAAAAAAATTTTAAAAAACATTCCGCCTGTCTCACCGCCCCCGAGCGGTTGTGTACAGGTTGTCCGCGTGCCTAACGTCCCTACGTTAGTGCCCCCCTCCTTACCGCGCTTCGCGTTATCTAGTGAGCACTGAATAGTGCTGAAGTCCGGTAAGTTTTTCTTGCTAACTCTCAGTTCTCACCCCCCCGCCTTCGGTCGGGGAGGTTGGCTGACCGCTTGTATTATATTGTAGAACACTAGATACTAGTGTATAAGTTTATTAGTATATTTTATTACATATCTGTTTATTATATTCCGTGTATCTTGTTTCTTGTAAAACGTTACTTGCTCTTTTCAGAGCAAGTCCCTGTTCTTTTGAGAACAGGGGTCTGTTTCTTGATTAAGTGCGTCCCGTTCTTTTCAGAACGGTGATCTCGCCCTTACTGCTTAGGTTCAGAACGTCTCTGTTCTTTTCAGAACAGCATCCCCCCAGCCCCATTCGTTTCTCAGCATCATGTCCAAACAAGACCGTATAGGGTCCATCGCGTCAGGCCTTAATAGGCTGGATAATTCGGCTCTCGCCGCAATCGAGGCAGCTATTGCCTCATATGCCCCTCAGGCAACTCAACCGCCGCCCGTTATAGCGGCCTACCTCGAGTCCCGGAACTCGTTCGCGCCCCTTGAGATAGACATGGAGTGCTCCAACTCCAACTCCGACTCAGAATCCACACTCCGGGGCTCTGGTTCTACGGAGACGTCTGACTCAGACGGATCCGAAGAATCAGAGTTCACCACAGTGTCTTCCAAGCACCGTAAACGCGCCACGAAATATCTCACCGTTTCGGCGGCCTCTGCCGCCCCCGCAAACCCCGTAGCCCCCGTAGCTGCCTCAGTCCCCGCAGCTCCCGCTGCAGTTTCCGTGACACCACTGCCCAAGCCAGCCTCCCGCTGTGCTTCTAACCCGACTAAGAAGCAAGTCCCGCCCCCTGTCTTCTTACGAGACAAGGCTCAATTCACCCGCCTCTCCAAAGCCTGCTACGACGCAGGAATAATATACGACCAAGCCACCAACCTCGGGGAGGCTATTAAAATCATCCCCCAATCTGTCGACGACTTTCGTCGTCTCACCAGGCTCTTCACAGCCGAAAAAGTCTCTTATCACACGTACGCTCTTCCGGAAGAGCGCAAAATCAGGGCCGTCATCCGAGGCGTCCCTTTTGAAATTTCCAACGAGGAAATCCTTGAGGACCTTAAGTCCCAAGGATTCCCGGTTGAGGCTGTGCATAAAATGCACAGCAGAACGGGCTTGAGGTTCCCCCTCGCTCTCGTTATTCTTGCAAACGCACCGGAGGCACAGACTATCTTCCGGCAGTTACGCACAGTGTGTGGGCTGTCGGGAGTTAGGGCTGAGCTCCCACATAGGCGCGGCTACCCGGCGCAGTGCCACCGCTGCCAGTTATATGGTCATGCGGCGGCCAACTGCTCCGCCCCACCCAGGTGCGTTAAGTGCCTCGACCCCCACAACACGAAAGAGTGTCCCCGGCCCAAAAATGCCGAATCCCCACCCGCGTGCGTCCTGTGCAAACAAACAGGCCACCCGGCTAACTACAGAGGCTGCCCTTGCGCACCTCACCCCCGCCCCATTAGGCACGCTCCACCGCCGGTTAATGCTAAGTCATTCCCGGCCCTCCCGTCAAGATTGCCACCTAAGAGATATTTTCGCCCATCTCAGGTAGACCCAAGGCCCTCCCGGGTCCCTCCCCCTCTTCTTCGCCCACCTCCGGGCTTCTCGCAACCATTACAGCCTCCAGTCTTTCCCTGGGGACCCAAAAAGGCCGACCCTCCGCGGTCGTCCCCCGCTGCACAGCAAGCACAACCCTCAATGGTTGATGATCTAAATACGGTGTACGCCGCCATTAAGAACATCAACATTGGGGAGATCACAGTCTTAGCACGCAAATTGCGCGCTGCCAAGTCCCCTCAGGACAGACTCCTTGCTCTTACAGAGCATCATAATCTTTTAAGTACGTTATAAAATTATTTTTAATCATTTCATCGTAAGGTCAATACGTCGGGTTAAAACTGCCTTCGTAGGCACTCACTAATTAAAACTCTCTGAAACTTCTTCAAAGTCTCAGAGTTTCATTAAACATACTTATTCGTGAGGTAGCTAAGTGTGCAACCCCACTCCCTCTCGCTATCGCATCCGCAGGCCGAGGAACTCCCACTCGAACCCGCCTATTCTCTGTCAAACGATTTGAACTACCTCCTGGTGGCTCAGTCAATTTCATAATTAAACTTTCATAAATAATTAAATTTTTACAATCAAATTGCCTTCGTAGGCACTCCCTCAGCAGCTTATAGCCGCCTGCGCCCTCTTTTTCCCAAAAGAGGGTCGCTTTACGATACGGCATAGAAAGCTTTAAACAGCTGGTTGCCAGTCCCCAAAGGCGGTTTTTAGGGGGTATCACATAGGCTCCCCCGTTAGGCGTGAGTCCCCCATAACCACGATGGATAGCCATCGTGGTATGCGTAATGCATTTTCCGCCTCCCGTAAAGGGTAGCCCTTTTCCAAATTGCTTCGGGCGCAAAAAAAAAAAAAAAAAAAGCGGTCTATCTGTCGTCGTGCGTTCGTAACGTACGTTAAGTCTCTATATATATTATTTCGTGTGTTGTCTTTCTTCTCTAAGCGAAAATGACCGGTCGCGGTAAAGGTGGTAAAGGTTTGGGGAAAGGTGGAGCGAAGCGGCACAGAAAAGTTCTTCGTGATAACATCCAGGGTATCACCAAACCGGCTATCAGACGTCTCGCACGCAGGGGCGGTGTGAAACGTATCTCCGGGTTAATCTACGAAGAGACACGCGGTGTACTCAAGGTGTTCCTTGAGAACGTGATTCGTGACGCTGTTACATACACCGAGCATGCGAAGAGGAAAACCGTCACCGCAATGGATGTCGTCTACGCCCTGAAACGTCAAGGACGTACCCTCTACGGATTCGGTGGTTAATTTCTTATACGCGATGGAGACGTCGTCCACCGCCACGTACTACGGCTCTCTGTCCGCTCTAAGTTCCGTCTATAGTACACCATGTGCGCAGTGTGTATTTGCTACTTGGTATGCGGGACTCTGAGAGTTAAGTTACGTGATGAGACGATTTTCCTAATCGTATAAGTTAATAAAAAAAAAGGCCCTTTTCAGGGCCGCAAAACTATCGATATAACTTGTATTTGTTTCGTAGAGTATCGTCATTTAAAAAAAAAAATAATATGTGCAAGCATGTATTTTGTTGTATGGATATGTGTATAAATGGCATGATTATGTATATAAATGCGAATGTATGTGTGTTTATGATCATGTATGTAAGTGCATATTAGAATTAGATGTGTCTGTCTACAAAGTTATGTTATTTAAAAGCTGTAAAGGCATCACATAAGATTTATGTATACCAATTAAACGCGGAACAAAATTAGGTTTATTTTTTTAATTTTTTTTTTTTAATTCGAAATAATTTCGAAAAACTGATCTGAATGAATGAAACGACAATTCATGTATGCACACACACGTTTAAATGACTATACTCTTCTTAAATTTGACGATACCTACTAAACAAGTGTAAGATATCGCCATATTGAAATAATGGTTCGAACGTCTTAGGAATAATATTATCATAATTCCGAATTGTATTTTTTTTTTCTCTTATTTATCTCCCTTATTATTTACAATTACTTATTATTTAAATTACATTAAAACTTTTTCAACTATTTTATCCTACAATTAAATATACTAAACACTAAGCAAAAACTATTTCGACGAGTATTTCAACAAGTATTTACAAAAAATTATTTACGTAAACAGCGTTATAAAAAACTAACATTCAATCGTATAGAGCGCGCTAGCCCCGACTGCAATCTACCCCTGGGACAGCTCGCGATTGTAGGTAATTATTTCACGCTGGTAGCAAGGGTGACAGAGACCTGCCTCAGCTGTTTGCGTTTTGTTTAATATGTATTGCTAATTGTACGTAATGTTTTATGGGTATTAAATAAATAAAGGTTAAAATAATAAAATAAGTTTTGGGATTTCATTTTACCAACATTTCGATACATTATTTGTAAAAGTGATACATTATTTCGGTTTTTTAAAAACAAATAGAAGATAACACATTTATGATATACACATGGAATAATTAACAAAAAGTACAATATAAAAAAACAACACAATTAATTGAATAAAACTCATTTTACGGATTTTATTGCGTTTTAATATAATTTATTTTGTATTTTTTTTTCTCGTGCTTTACAGCACTCATGGTCACCGTAGGGCCTGAGGTAAATGATGTCCCGATGTTATAGTTAACTCGGGCTACCTTTAGCTATCGAATATTAGACCACAGATCACAACAGTACAGATCTGCGTAAATCGGACCAAACATTAATATAATTTGCGCTGGTCTGCTTAGGTCAAAACAAAAACTTATTTAGTTCTTGACTACAATCCCACCTGATGATGTAGTAGTAGAAGTAGAAGTAGTGATGAAGCCCTAGGTAAGACAGTGCGCTTTACCACTGTCTTAGCGTAGCAAAAGCCTCTTCACTCTTGCCTTGAAGACGCCTAAAATGTTATCGGACGGAAAGACAGACGTCGTCAGATTATTTCAGTCGTTTGTTGTACGCGTGACGCAAGACAACGAAGCGTGAAGACCTGCCAACCGCCAGTTATCCGATAGTAGAAAGGTGAAAATAATATCTTTGTTCCGGTCTTAAGTGGTTGGTCACTTGGTTGTTTGAGGTCAGTGGCGTGTGTCCATGGACTGTAGCCAATTACCGTAACCGTATAACCGTAACCATAAAGGGCCGTACGTTCGTTTCTCAAATGAATTTTAAAAAATCGTAACCTAAAATAACACGTAAATACACAATTTACTGCAGGGAATCTACTGGGGGCATTTACTGCGGGGATTCTACTGGGGGCATTTAATATGGGAAGTTGGCAGTGTTTACCAACGAAACCAAATGTTAAAACCAAACGTTAAAACCAAACCAACCACGTGGAGTATTTTTTTTTTATAGCGAGCTAACAATTTTCCTATTTGAAAAAGCATGTTCACGGACTTTATTGTGTTTCATTTTACTTTCCCTTTCCCGACATTTCAGCACCCGTGGTCACGGAGAGACCGAGGTGTTTGACGTCCTGATGACGAAGGCTACCTTCGACATTGAATTATTTTTTAAATTAATCTGCAAAAGTTTTATTCAGTTCATGAATTCGCAATTTCCTTCTGTCATAAATATGAGAATGTCGTGATATAAAATTAAAATTAAACACGTTTTTATTTTTTATTTCCAGGTCTCCTCCGCTACAAAGTAGACTTCCAGTCGATGCAACTCGACGACGAGGAGATCGACAACCTATACGACGTCGACGACTACTAAACACGCCCACAACCGAGCGGACGGACGCGAATGTGCCTTAAAGCTGAACGCACATTTATTCGCGCCGTACGCGCCGAATTTTAGAATTTGTTGTATGAAATCATATGAAACCTTGCACATTACACCCGCACCGTATGCGCAGACGTTTATAAAATGCGGTAGGTATCCGAATATTGAAGGACGCATGCTGATGACGTCATATAACGCGGCGCGTTCGGCGCGTGCTGATACTCAGTGTTGTCTAATGTTGCCAACTTAGTGGATTTTCCACTATAACTGGCAGTTTCGACTTGCGTGATATTTTTTTTTATTTTTATAACTTAATTAATTCGTAATTAATTATACATCATTTGAAATCTTTTTTTGCATCGATTATCAATATGAATACTTAGTGATAAATTATTTAAATACTGAACTAAAAAAAATGGTTAAATTTAATTCAAAAACCCAATTATACCTGATTACTTATTATCAATGAAAATACTTACCTCAAACATAAAGTCTTGTCTTTTCTTCAATTGGCCTTCTAAATCTTGAATTTTCCAAAGAGAATTCCAGAAGATATGGTTTTAGTATATGTAGCAATTCTTGAAATTTCTTGTATGTTAAATGCAAATATCTAAAAAATCGTTCATCATCATCTAGATAAGTCTTTAAACAAAGTATATCCCCTTCATATTCTCCATACAATTGTCTTTTTAAATTAACATTATGAACCCAGAATCTTCTTTTTCTTCGAATTTTATTTTCTTCTTCCTCTACCAATAACCAGGCTATTACTATATTTCTTTCCATAGTGATTTCGAGCGATCAATTTCACCGTACTGTTTCATACCAGTTGTTGGAAAAAACTACAAAAGTTGTTGGTAATACAAAAGATTTGCGTACGGCGCGGACGATGCGTACGGGCAAATGTGCGAGGCTATCAGTAAAACTCGGCGAGTACGGCGCGTACGATGCGTACGGTGTGGACAAATGTGCGTCCAGCTTTACACAACGCAATAGTGACTATGTCCGTATGCACTTGTTCTGTACCGTGATATTCTGTGATACTGACACGTTGGAAATTGTGTTTCAGAGCCCTTAAACATGTGTACGAAATTGTTACAGACAGCGAGAGACCCGCCGCCCCGTCGCCCCTTCGTTCCCCGTTACGTCCCGCGCACCCCGCACGCCGGCGCTGATCACGCGATATCGGGCAACCAATCAGCGCGCGTGCGGCGAAAATTGCCATCGGGCGGCTAACCCCACGAAATGAAGCGCTCTCCTCGGAAATATAAGAAGGGCGCCTCGGACGGTCGTTGTTCATTCGGGTTCATTCGGGTTCATTCAGAAGCATTCATTCGGAAGCGGCACTCGAGAAGACAACAAGGAAGAATCAAGACAGAAGACTCCATACTGAAGACCTCCCTTTTGAATAGTGATTTAGTTAATAGTGCCGAACCCTGTGTAAATAGTGAATATAGTATAATTAAAAGTACCATCTTTTCTTCGAGCAGTCCCCTAGTATAGCTAACCTCACACCGCCAGTTAAAATACCAAATACAGTCCACTACTCTCCATCCACTTTATCTTGGTCCATCGTCGCCGGATAGCAGCCAGAAGAAGGAAGAAAGAAGAAAGAAGTAAGTAGAAACAAGAAAGAAGGCAGTTATAGAAGAAAGAACGTAATTATAGAAGAAAGAACATAATTACAGAAGAGAGAAGATTATTATAGAAGATCTTCAAGGAAGAAAGAAGTTCGTCGACGAAGAGAGAAGATCGTCGGTACTAATTTCTTCCCTGTTTCTTGTTACGCCTACGTCATACGCGTCTATTGTCTGTTTCCAGACAATTTCTTGTTTCTTAACCGCGTTTACGCGGCCAGTGGTCACTCCCTAACGGTGCCAAACTGTGACCATCTGGTAACGCCCTTGTGGCGGGAACGACATCCATACGTGTGTCTTTTTAAAGACTGTACGTACGTCTTTTTGAAGACGACCGGAGGTCGCAACGTGGGACCATGAGGAAGACACGAAGCCAGAAGACACGGAACGATGATGACACGCCGGTAGGAATGCGCATATTCGAAGAAGCACCCGCGTCCCCGTCCGATTATCTCGCGATGGCACAAGCGCCCTCCGCCGCGCCCGCGCTCCAGGCCCCGCCCGCGCCCGCATCTACGCCCGCGCCCGCGCCCCGCCGCCGCGCCCCGCTATGTCCGTGTCCACGACCGATCGTTTGGGAGAGGTTAGCATTTCCGCGCCGCGTACAGAGACACTCGCCGCGATTATAGAAGATCTTCCGTCTACAGAGATTAGTTCGATAGTACGTACCGTCGCGCCTGTAACAGACGTACATAGGCCCGCGCCCCGCGCCCCGTCGGTTCGCTCCGTTCGTTCAGCCCGGTCGACGGCTAGTGCGATAGCTAAATTAAAGCAAATTGAATATAACGCCGCGGAGGAACTAGCTGCAATTAGGAGGAAGCAATTGCAGTTGGAAGAAGATCTTATTAGGAAGAAGTACGCTAGGGACGTCGCGCAACTGCAAGAAGAAACAGATAGGGAAAGTGTCAACGAAGACGAGTTAGTTGAAAATAGGGTACGCGTTGATAGGTGGTTAGAGAACGTAGAGACTGTGCGGGGGGAGTCGCCTTCCCGCCCCTCTCAGCCCGCGCCCCGCATCGAGTTAGAGCAGACCCTACCGAACAGGGTAACCGGTTACGACCACAGTGAAGATGCCCAGGGGAGGACGGAAGCGAATAACGTTCGACCGCGCCGCATAGATTCGGTACAGAGGGAAGATGGAGTCGCCGCAGGAATGAACCAGGTGGATCGTCGTGTACGGGTTACGTCGCCGTCGCGCGTCCAACGCCGCACTCTATCGCCTACACATAGATCGCCACATCGCCACGCGGATCGTAGATCACCGTCGCCGCATAGGGATGTAGGTGCGCATAGGACGCCAGCGCCACAGCATAGGCTAGAGAGAGATAGGGATAGAGATAGGTCGCTTACTCCGCGAGGAAAGGATAGGGGTATAGAGCGACTAGCGGAAGCTCTGGAGAATATGGTCAGAGTTAGGCCCGCTGCCGCGAAGCAGACGCAGGACTTGCCTATTTTTAACGGTTCGGCCGCGGAATGGTTAGCGTTCAAAGCCGCGATGAAAGAATCCACGCGTCTATATGGATTCACAGATACGGAAAATATGGCAAGGTTAAGAAATTGCTTACGCGGTGAAGCTAGGGAAGTAGTATCGGCACTGCTGTTTACCGCGAAGGATCCAGCAGATATTATGCGAACATTAGAGCAGTGTTTCGGCCGCCCAGAAGTAATTATCGATCGCGCGTTAGAAGAATTGAAACGCCTTCCGCGCCCGGGTCAAACCGCACAGGAACTAAATGCGTTCGCAATAAAGTTGCAAAATATCGTGTGCATTTTGCAAAACGTCGACGGCAAGGGATATCTGCAAAATCCAATGCTTACTAGGGAGGTAACGAGTAAGTTAAGCCCTCACTTACGGTCGCGTTGGTGTGATTATGCGGAGCACTACGGGAGTGCAGACGAGCCGGACATCGTTACACTGTCCAGGTTCATGATGAGAGAGGCTGATCGTGCGTTGAGTCATGCCTATACGTCCGTAGAGCCGACTAAGGAATCGCCCGTAAGACGAGAGGCGCCGCCGTCGAAGAGGATAGTGACACGCCGCGTAGAGAATAGGGCTCGCGACGTAAAAACGTTCACCGCACAGGAGGACACCGGTAGTGCCTCTTGTATGTGCTGCGGAGGTGAACACGCGATCGCCAAGTGTAGAAAGTTAGCGCAAATGGGTGTGGACGACCGGTGGAATTGGGTAAAAGAAGACGGGGTATGTTTTCTATGTTTAAACAGTAAACACCGACGGTTTAAATGTAAAGCAAAGAAATGCGGCATCGACGGCTGCAACGCCCCCCACCACGCCCTCCTTCACACCCGCAAGACCCGCGCACCTGAGACATCGGCCAAACCGGATGAGACCGTACTCATCGCGTCTAACGTCGGTAGGAATGCATCCGTATTGTTGAAAGTGTGTCCCATTACGTTACGTGGGCCACACGGTAAGGAAATAGACACGTACGCGTTGCTCGACGAAGGTTCGACTATTTCGTTGATCGATGACGACTTAGCGCGTGAGTTAGGAGCGGAAGGACCGATAAAGCCGCTGAATATTAGGGGAATAAGCAATAGTCAGCGCGAGGCCGATAGCAGGCTAGTTAACATAGGCATACGTGGAAAATCGCGCAGCGAGATGTATAGAATAAATGCGCGTACAGTAACGAATTTACAGATAGGTTCGCAGTCGGTGAATAAAGAGTGTTTACGTCTAAAGCATTTACGCGACCTACCGAGCTCGGTTTGCTATGAGGACGCCAAACCGAGATTATTATTAGGAGCCGACAATTGGCATTTAATAATCACCCGCAATTTGAGGATAGGGCGTCGAAGGCAGCCTATAGCTGCACGTACGTTATTAGGATGGGTGATACAGGGAACCGTGCCGCGATTCACGTGTAGGGAGGACGGTGAAACCGTGTTACACGTCGTAAGCAGTAGCGGACGGATAGATAGGGACATCCGAACGTTCGCGAGTCAAGACGAGGAGATAACGGAACTCCTCAAACGGCAGTACGAGATCGATTCCATCGGTATCTCGCTAAGGAATAGGCCGCGACGGGAAGAGGAACGCGCTGTCGAGATATTCCAGCGCACCGTCAAGAAGGTCGGCGATCAATACCAGGTGGGACTGCCATGGAAGGACGACGACGTGCGGATGCCTCCTAGCTACGAGATGGCTGCTAGAAGACTGCGGACGATCGAGAGGAAGATGGACAAATCGCCGGAATTTCGAGACGCCTATACCGCACAAATAGATAACCTCCTGGCGAAAGGATACGCAAGGGAAGCCGAGGGGACGGAGAGAGAGGACCCTAGGAGCTGGTACCTGCCCCACTTCGCAGTACGAAACCCGAACAAGCCTGGGAA